CTACGCGTAGCAAGTTTGGATTATTTGCATAGTAGAAATTGTGGCTTTCGAAGCAGTGTGCTGCAGTTAAAACTTTCCACTCATTTATAATACTTCCCCCACACAAGTTTTTCCAGACTATTCTATTTTCACCAATTCTTTGAATTGGTTCCTTTATAGATACTAGATACGGTACTTGCCCAGATGCCGCCGGTTCTCCATTCACTACTGTTGGTTTTACATATAACTTAGAATATTTCAGTGTTGTTATCACACGTTTGTCTGGTTCGCAATAGCTACCTAATAACAGCGTGAAAGAAAACACCAAATTTAAAATCATTCAGAATAATATTCATTTTATAAAAACATGTCAATTACTATTCTTGACATTTTGCATGTTTTGATAGATTTTTTTTTCTTTCTTTATGGATAAGTTTTTTTTTCTTCGGTTTTAGCTTTACATTATTTTTAATATAATTAAACCTAGATAACTTTTAAGTAAATAATTACAATATTCTACTCATTACAAATGTTTTATTATATAACCCTTGTATCTACTTGTAAAATATTTTTAGTCTATTGTTATATGGATTTTTTTAAACAAATAATAACAAAATCAAAATTAGAATTTGTGTATCTATTAATTTTTTTTTTAAATTGCGTTAGAAAAGGATAAATAGGTCCCAAAACAATATTACTTAAATATTTTTTATTATGATAGGTATTTTTGGTTTTTGAACGATAAGCGTTGAATGTAAGTAATCTTTTATTTTCGTGTATGTAAAAATATTCTAATATAAATAGTATAGGCACCTATTTAATTAATAGGTACATATAAGTTGAGTTTGTTTGTTCCGGCTGGTGTCAGAAACTACTGTAAGGCTTACAACAACAGAAAGAGAAAATATCGATCGGGTGCGTCCCTAAGTGTAGCTACGCGGATTTTGTTCATAATTTCATTGGGTTTAAATTATTTGCGCGGAACTCTAATTCTTTTTAAAAATAAAAGTAGTCTAAGTTACTCCTTATAACATCAGCTATCTGCCAGTAAAAGTCCCGTTTAAATCGGTCAAGCCGTTTTTGAGATTAGCCGGAACAAGCAGACAAACAGAGAGACAGACAAAAATTTTAAAATTATTTTTCTTATAATTACCATATATACTTTCATATGTATTTAGTAAAAAGCTGTTATTTGGACATTACAAACAGACACTTCAATGTTATTTATTTATATATATTACTAAGAAACTAAAAGACGTAAACCACAAAATTATTTACATAAAACTAAATCAATCTATTTAAAAACTTATTTAGTTTATAATTAGCCCAAGAATATCGAGAAATCAAAGAGTAAAATGCCATCTTCAAAGGGAATGAGACGGGACAAACAACTCGTAATTAAAACATCTTGGCAATCCTTCCGGAGTAAAAGACATTAATTATTACATGAAAATGATTGAAGGAATAAAAGCGATGCCTAGATTTATGGGATGTTTTTTCTATATTTTTGAATATTTGAACTACATTTGCTTAAAAGAACAATTACATTTTTTTTCGATAAAAAGTTAAATGGCTATATTTAAAAAAAAAACGCCAAAACGATGTAAATATCTACGTATTAGTTCACGGAATTACTTTTGAAACATCGTCAACTATCATTAGCGGTGGATTTACACTCGGGGCTAGTGCCTACTGGGCGCAAAATTTTTAGGGGCGACAAAAAAAGATAAGGCAGAAAGAGAAGGCAAAAAAAATTTTTTACGTTATCGAAAATGTTTTTTTTCTGTTCCAAAAAATGAAAAATAAAAATAGATTAACTAGTAAATTTTTCGAAAAATTGATATCATTTATAAATTATTTTATTACATTTTTCAAAAAATTTATAATAAAAAAATGTAAACTTTATCGAAACTACCCAGTTTATGCAGAATTTCCATAATAGGGCGGCCTTTTTTTACTATGCCCAGGGGCGGGGCAAAGGTTAAATCCGGCCCAGACTATCAATCTGTCAATCAAATTCAGCTCTTTTTAACGTCCCACTGCTAAGCACTCAGTTACGTAGTAACTAATACTTAATCTGTGGCACTCAGGCCCATGATTGTTGCCAGCATTGATTGATTCAATGTGAGTCAATTCCTATAGATATTTATCTCATTCTATAATGTAGCTTTATTTTCCTCCCACTTTTGATATCAACATGTTTCATCGTGCGACTTGAGATTGCTGTTACAAATTGATTTGACGGATTCAATAACAAATTAAAATCAGTAGGCGTTTTTAAAGAAAATATTTTAAATAAATTTGACTTATCCTCTCTCCGTTTGCGTGCTTAAGGTGTATTATTTAAAAAGAACAAAAATATTAAATGTAAATTCGGGTTTTATCTTTTTTTTTCAATATATTTAAATTTACTTACCGACATTTTTATGCAATATACCTACCTATACTTAATCGTCATGGTTCTATACAAGAATCTTTTCAATTTGGGAGAACAAAAACAAAAACATTTTAAAATTTACAACATTTTATTAATTATATTATATAAAATGTTTAAAACATTAACTGTTTTAATAAAATATTTTGTTCGAATACTTATAATTAGGCAATACATTCATAATTCCATAGAATGAGGTTACACTTCATATGTCTCGTCAAATTCACGTTATTATTGTATTTAAATACTAATGTACAAAAATGCAAGAAATATGTCATAAAATATACAATTTCAATAAATTTAAAATTAATTTACACTTAATAAATCGCGGAAAAACACGATTGTAATAATTAAGTTTATAAAAAAAATCGATATCCTGTCGATATCCATAGAGCGGAAAAATAAAAATCATTACGTATCAAAAATGAACTTTTATCTTTGTTCTTATTTATTATAAGTTTTTATTCAATAATCTTGTTTTTTGTTCAAACCAAAAAATCTAAAAAGAAATGAAAAAATATACATAAAGAAAAATTAAATAGACGCAAAGCTTGTTCTCTTAACCAAGTAAAAAAAATACATTGTAAAGACACTTTTGGGTTTTTAAACGTGAAAATGAAATTAATTAAAAAAAAAACATTCCACTATAATACAATTCCATATCCGTACAATACTTCCATTACACTCGTAACTATGAAACACATTATATCGTATCATAAAATCCTTTAACGCTGTAAATATTATAAATAAACTACAAAATATAAGAATTCGTTGAATTCTGCCACTACCTATTTATTCTTCATGACATTGAGCTACGATATTATCAATTTAAAACTTTCTTAGATTTATGCGAAAATTTTACATTTTCAATGAAACTTTTCTCTTTAGGATTTGTTCCGGGTACATTTTGTCTAAGCTTTCAATCAAAATAAAAAAAAATCTTTAGTGCAAAAAAAAACTATTCTATGGAAACAAATTTAAAGTGCTTAGATGAAAGCTTATGTCACTCTACGGTCGATAAACTATCTTATATAGCTAAAATCTTTTTAATCTTTTTTTACTGTTCAAAAAGGAGTAACAAACAAATTATCGCATATTTATTATTAGCATTGTCCACGGATTTCGTCCACTCTCTATTCCTGTCAATCTCATACTCCGGTGGGATTACAATTCAATATGACCAGTGGAGATATCAGGTTGAGAATATCTTGATTAAAAGAAAACCAATATCTATTCTCAACTCAGTACTCGAATCTAGGACCTGTAAATCTACAACCGTACATGCTAGCCACTAGACCAAGGAGGCAGTTATATTTAAGAAAAACATTCTCATTTTTTATTGTTCAACGTTGACTTGTCCAAGGCGAATCATACTTTATGTCATAGAGAATATAGTTTATTTTGGATTGCACTCAACTATTATTTAGTTATAAAAGCATATTAGGCAGTACTTCATAACACTTATTTTATTAAATAATAAAATCTTTCGTACAATGAAATACAAGAGAGAGAAAAAAGAGAGAGAGAAACACTACAATTTACCTTTAAAAATTATTCTCAAACGATTTTTATATTTTATATGAATATATGAATTTCATTTCGCTTTAAGCATTGAAAAATAAATCAGCCTCAATATAACACAATTAATATTTCTTTAAAACAAATTGTATTTAAATATATATCAAAACTTGTTTAATTAGACTGTGCGTATGTCACAGAAATGCCTTACATAAAAGATACTATAGATAAATTCAAAATTAATAAAAAAAATATAGTTTTATTTAATATATTTTAAATATTTTAATTAATTTTATTCATTTTTTAATTAATTAAAATAATTAATGAAATTAATTTATTATAGCCTTTATTACTATTCAAAATCTTACATTCAATCTTGGAATGTCACTCGATTAAATTAAAAATTAAAAAAAAAAACTACTTGCTACCGCTAAAAGGGAGAGTAGTAAAATATTTTCCAGTATCTATTTGGAAATTTAGTCTATACTACACTAACTCGTACAATATCATTCATTTTTCATTCAATAAATTGAATGAATGCAATCCAAAACATTCAAATATATAAAAAGATTCATTCACAATTGCTTTGCGCTTATTTAAGTTTCAACTTTCAAGTATCAATTCATTTTTAAACATATCATATACATATAAATATATAAAAAAAATCTCTGTTTTAACATCAAGAGGGTAGATAGAAAAAAGTTAGTTTATACATATTTTTAGAAATTGTATTCTATTTTGAGCACTTCTTATGATAATCGTACCGAAATAAATATATATGTATATTAATAAATTAGTGCAGATATCCAATATGAATATATGCAATAATCATAGTTCGAGACGCTAGTAAGTCATATATTATATTACATTAAACAAAATTAAAAACAAAGCAGTACTTTTCAATATGATGACATAATACATTATTTTAATACTATACATTTACTCACAAAACTAACCTTTACATATTAGAATAAAACTGATACTTAAATAATTGAAAAAGCGCCATTTTACACATCGTGATGTTATCTCGTTTACAGATAAGCAAATATAAAAGTAATAAAGAAAATTATTTGTCTTGAAGTTGTACATAGTTTGCCGGGAACAGTCCGTATGCACCCTTACACAGTCCCTGCCACCAGCCCTCGTCGATCTGAAGAATATATTAAACAAAGATTACGTTCAGGTCCATCCTTAGGTTGTCATGTACATATAAGAGAAAAAATACATAAAAAGTGACGTGTACAAAGGTGGACTTTTTTTTGGAAGAGAAGAGTATATAAGTCTAACACATAAATAAAACTTAATATATATATATTATATGCAAAAACATATACATAAGAAAATTACATAAATATACATTTACATATAAATATACACATAAACAATAAACATACATATGTATAAAGTACATAAATGCTAAACGTGAAAATATATCGTTCAAAATTGAGCCAGAAATATTGTTTTTAAGCCGTAGAAGGGCTATCGTCGTCGGACTCACCATGACAATGTTGGTGATGACGTCGTCGGGGTCGAAGGAGATCTCGTCGGGCGCGTTGGCCTGGTAGTCGTAGAGCGCGCGCGCCGTGTAGCCGTCCTCGTCCTCCGCGTCCTCCGCGCCCTCCGCCGCGTCGCCGCCCCAGCCCACCGGCGACACCACGATCGTGGGCTGCCGGCTCATCTGCGAACACACTCCACGTATTACTTCAACGATCTTTTATTTATCTAATACTAGCGACCTCACCGTCGCTTCACCCGGATTCGCCTCTAGATACGTTTCATTTTTTTTGAACGGAACCCTAATTCTTATTCTGAAATAAAAGTAGCCTAAGTTACTCCTTATAACATCAGCTATCTGCCAGTAAGTCCTGTTATAATCAGTCCAGTCGTTTCGGAGATTAACCAGAACAAACAGACAGACAGATCGACAGACAAAAAAATTTAAAAAATTGTGTTTTTCTTATAAGTAGCGTATTGAATTTTATATATGTTTAGTAAAAAGCTGTTCTTTGACAAACAGACACTTTCATTTTATTTATTTGTAAATATTATAAAAAAAGCCTTTTATTCCATGATATTAAAATATTTTTTTACATCACAATATGCATGAACGTATATATCTGCTACATGTGGCGTATTTTAATTTATATTTCCTCTTTCAGTAAAAAAATAATATTTATTTTAATGCCATTAATTTTGTGCACACACACACTCACACACACATTCGTGCACACGCGCACACACACACACACACAACAACATAATAATACTCACTTCTTCTTTCTCTTCTTTAACATCTGGTTCTCCCACGAGAGTGACATCAGGTAGATTGACCTTCGCATCTTGAGGAGGCTGGGTCTCTGTGGACGGCACGATATCTACCTTCTCTTCTGCCTTAGCTGACACGTTTGTGTCTTTTGTGTTCGTTGTGTTCGTGCTTGTGTTTGTGCTTTCTGGTTCTTCTTTCGGTTGTTCAGGTTGATCTTTATCTTTCACTACACGTTCTTTTTCCTGCAAAAAAAGAAATAGATGAAGTAAATAGTATTAAATAGATTGTAAATATAGAATTAAAAAATTAAGATGTTATGATTGTCAGTAATGTCCTACAGATTAAATTTTGTCAAAAAGCTCTTCAAAATAATTACTAATCGAAAAGAATTCCAATGTTAAATTCGAAAATTTTGTAGTAGAAAATGGAACTGATAAAACAAAAAGAAACGGGAGCTTTAGGAGCGATTTTAATTATTTTTTTGCTAAAAGCACACAGTTGTAATAATTGAATTGAAATTAGAAAAATACTTCGCCATGCCGAACGCACACTCCTCCCTCGTCCACTGCATGGTAGTTACTGAACTAAGCGTTCAAAAAACGTCAGGCTGGGCCCTTTTTAACGCGGATATCCACACTCCGGAGGGAACTACCCCATGGAAGTGGCAGATTTACCAGCAGGCTGAGTAGGCTTGAGCCTAGTGCGACAAATTTTAGGGGCGACGAATTTGGGGACAGAACTTTTCTTTAGTCAATATATAACGTCTTTGAAACGTCTAAAACATTAGTAAATCCGCGAAATAATCCAAAAAGATAATTTTCTTTAAAATGTCAAATATTCACGTAAATCTAAGAAAGTATTACTACTCATCTTGCTTTAACTTGCCACAATATGTCACTATGAAATTTCAAACCAACCAAAAAAAATTCAGACAAACCATGCTGTAGACTAAATTTCTATTATGAACAAAAGCGATTGATTACATACTGTAGTGATTTAATACTGTGGTCATGCAAACTATTTTCATATATAAATAATCATTACCTTCTCTGATAAACTTTTGTCCAGTTGTTGTCTCTCTTGCCGTATCCTTTGTACAGATTGCAATGCTTCCTGCGAAAATTGAAACATTTTATAATAAAACATATGGTTTCTACTTTGTATAGTTGGTACTGTAGGTGGCTTACATATTTAATATATTTAATCTATTGTATTTATATATTTAACTACACATTTTATAATATTAATATTTTATTTAATATTTAATTTACGTATAAACATCATATTCACATTCACCTACATACATACTACACGTATATTTAATTATTTATATTTATTAATCACATTTATTCATATATATTATAATTGACAAGCATAGCCGCGCGAGACCTGCAGTATTAATTTATTTGTCTCCTACCGGCCACTTTTTATGTTTTCATCTATATTATAATATTACTTATAACAGTTAGTAGATGCCTTGCCAGCTGACACTAACCACTTACTTTGTAAAATTCTATCGTTTGCGCTAATTAATGTATGTGGACTTCTTGTGTTTGTGCTTGTATATTGTTACAACTTGTATGTTACTGTGTATACTCCTAAACTTTCTTCTTCTGTACATTATTACGTGAGTGTTAAATTATTTCAATATAATAATTTATTAAGTGACGACAATAAGACTTTTATTCGTGTTCTCTCGTCACGACTCAAGTCAGCTAAACTGGTGACCCCTATAGTACACGCTGAAGAGGATGAGTTGTGGAAGTGACTCAGCAACATCGCACGTTACCACAAGACCGCGTACCAAGATGGCGACGCCCGTGAAATGCGCTTCTCCACAACAGTTGCCGCCCCAGATCAGGACACAACCCTTTTGGCCAGAAAAACCTGCCATCTGGTTTGCGCAAATCGAAGGTCAGTTTAGATTGTATGGAATTACTGACGATGCCACCAAATTTTACCACGTACTGTCAACGTTGGACAGACAATATGCCACCGAAGTGGAAGACGTCATCACTGGCCCACCCGATTACAATCGCCTTAAATCAGAGCTGATAAAACGTTTGTCGGTATCGCGCGAGAACAAAGTGAAGCAATTGCTAATGCATGAACAGCTTGGAAATCGAAAGCCGTCGCAATTTCTGCGGCACCTGCAGCACCTGGCTGGACCTAACATACCAGCAGAATTTGTACAGACTATATGGACCAGCCGCTTACCAGTGGAAATGCAACCTATCATTGCCTCACAGCCAACTCTGCCCTTGGACGCGTTGGCAGAGCTCGCCGATAGAATACAGGATATAGCAGCTCCAGCACACCAAGTAGCCGCCACTTCGTCACCAGGAATGGACTTATTATCACAACAAGTCGCAGAGCTAGCGAAACAAGTTAGTGCACTCACCGCCAAGGTCAACCGGAGGTCATGACCACACGATAGACCACACGGTCATAGACGTTACCGAAGCCGGTCTGGATCAAGACGGTCCGCTTCCAGTCACCGACGGTACCCAACTTGTTGGTACCATAGTAAATTTGGTTCTAAGGCAAGAAGCTGCATCCAGCCCTGCGACTTCAAGTCGGGAAATGCCCCGAGCAATCAGTGATGGCGACCAATGATTGCAGGAGTTCTTCGGGTCGCCTCTTCATCACCGACCGCACTTCAAATATGCAGTTCCTGGTAGACACTGGCAGTGACCTATGTGTGTACCCTCATTCTGCGCTTCGTGAACGCCGTGCCAGGGCGGACTTCGAACTCACCGCAGCTAATGGTTCGGTAATTGAAACGTTTGGGTTTATAGAACTTAATCTAAATTTAGGCTTAAGGCGTAGTTTTTCTTGGAGATTTATAGTAGCTAATGTAACGAAACCGATAATAGGCGTTGACTTTCTTAGTTATTATAATTTAATTGTTGACTGTCGCAATCAGCGCCTACTAGATAATACTACTACATTGTCATCTAATGCTGTAATTGCTAATGCTGATGTATTTTCTGTTAAAATATTTACAGGCGACACGGTATTTCACGAAATACTAAGTAAGTACCCTGAAATTACTCGCCCATCAGGCACACCAGTTATACCAACACACAATACAGTACATCACATAAGGACTACACCTGGACCTCCTATATCATGTACTCCACGTAGACTAGCACCCGACAAACTTAAGATTGCAAAGCAAGAGTTTGAGCTTATGCTCAAAAATGGTACAGCCCGTCCTTCTGAGAGCCCCTGGTCTTCTCCTTTACACCTCGCGCCTAAGAAGGATAACAGCTGGCGACCTTGTGGTGATTATCGACTGCTTAATTCACGGACTATCCCAGACCGCTACCCTATTAGGCATATCCACGACTTCTCCCATTCAATTTCTGGTTGCACTGTCTTTTCTACTATTGATCTCATGAAAGCCTATAATCAGATTCCAGTCCATGGGGATGACATCGCAAAAACCGCCATCACTACTCCCTTTGGCTTGTACGAGTTTCCGTACATGACTTTCGGATTGAGAAACGCTGGTCAAACATTCCAGAGGTTCGTTGATGAGATGACGAGAGGACTCGACTTCTGCTATTGCTACCTTGATGATTTCCTCGTGTTTTCCAAGGACGAAGCCGTATATAAAGCTCACCTTCATCAGCTCTTCGGCCGCATGAAGGAGTATAACGTCCTCGTCAACACCTCTAAATGTGTCTTCGGTGCATCAGAAGTAACATTTTTAGGTTACAGAATCTCAGCATTCGGCACCAAGCCTCTAGAGTCCAAGGTCCAGGCCATTACAGAGTACCCAGTGCCTAAGACAGTTAGGGAACTTAGGAGATTCTTAGGAATGCTCAACTTTTATAGGCGATTCCTACCCAACTCTGCCGCCATCCAAGCACCTTTGAATGCCTTACTCACTGGCAACGTTAAGGCCTCACACCCAGTCACGTTTTCAGGTGACACTATGTTGGCCTTCACCAGGTGCAAGGAAAGCCTCGCAAATGCTGCTTTACTGGCACACCCGGATTGTCAGGCCGACCTCGCTCTTGTCACAGATGCGTCCGACCTGGCGATGGGTGCTGTTTTACAGCAGTTTAAAAACGATGCTTGGGAGCCTCTGGCATTCTTCTCGCGTAAGCTAAGTCCCGCTCAGCAGAAGTACTCACCGTATGACCGCGAGCTCCTAGCCATATACGAGAGCATCAAATACTTTCGTCATATGCTTGAGGCTAGACATTTCGTGGTTTACACTGACCACAAGCCGCTCAGTTACGCTTTCAGTGAACGTAAAGCTAACTGTTCTCCTCGGCAGCACCGCCACCTCGATTACATATCTCAGTTCACGACCGACATTAGGCACATTGCAGGGAAGGACAATGTTGTCGCTGATCCACTGTCTCGCGTCGAGGAGCTTCAAATATCGATCGACTTAGAGGCGCTGACTGCATCACAAACATCTGACACAGAGTTGGCTCAGCTTTTGCGAGAAGAATCTTCACTCCGCTTAAAGAAGTTGAGCATACCTAACTCTAGTGCAGAGCTTCATTGTGACGTCAGTACCCCCACTCCTAGACCTTTTGTCACGAAACATTTAAGGAAACAGCTCTTCGACAGTTTGCATGGTCTTAGCCACCCAGGCGCGAATGCAACAGCAAAATTAGTTGCCGATCGTTTTGTCTGGCCTGGAGTACGCAAAGACTGTCGAGAGTGGTCCCGCCAATGTTTGGCATGTCAACGTGCCAAGGTAAATCGCCATGTGTCATCTCCACTGGGCACTTTCGATTTACCGCGCACTCGATTCGCCTTTATTCACGTGGACATTATCGGCCCACTGCCTTATTCACAAGGCTATCGCTACTGCCTCACGGCGATCGACCGTTTTACCCGCTGGCCAGAGGTCACCCCCATGGTGGACATGACAGCCGAAACAGTCGGGAAGGCTCTGATATCGTGGATATCCAGATTTGGATGTCCAACCGATATCGTTACAGATCGCGGTCGGCAGTTCGAATCTACACTTTTCCAGTACTTAGGAAAAATGGTTGGATTCAAACACCGCAGAACAACCGCGTACCACCCAGCCTGTAACGGGTTAGTTGAACGGTTTCACCGCCAACTAAAGGCAGCCATAATGTGCCACGCTGATAGCAATTGGGTGGACACACTACCTTTAGTGCTATTAGGTATTAGGAGCGCTTTCAAAGATGACCTTAAATCATCATCTGCTGAATTGGTGTATGGAGAGCCGCTCCGGTTGCCCGGAGAATTCTTTCAAGCCTCAGCCCCAGATTCGACCGATATATCGGATTTCACCACCCGCCTACACCAATTCGCAGCCAAACTCCAACCGACACCAGCTGCACGTCACAATAAAAATAAAATCTTTGTTTACAAAGATTTGGCTACATCTAGCCATGTATTCTTAAGGGACGACTCATTACGTGGTGCTTTACAACCACCTTACACTGGCCCTTATCAAGTTATCGAAAGAGGAGAAAAGACCTTCAAAATACAGGTCAAAGGGAATAGTGTTAGAGTATCCATAGACCGTCTTAAACCAGCCTACATACTCGCTAACCCAACTCCCGAAACCACCCCCACTCCCACACCCAAATCCCATCCCGGTCCCATTTCTTATCCTGCTCCTACAGCGCAGAGTGTCCCACCTCAGGATGTCGTCAAACGAACTCGCTCAGGTCGAACAGTCCGATTCCCTGATTTTTATCGCCCGTGACGGTCTCTGGAGGGGAGTGATGTAGGTGGCTTACATATTTAATATATTTAATCTATTGTATTTATATATTTAACTACACATTTTATAATATTAATATTTTATTTAATATTTAATTTACGTATAAACATCATATTCACATTCACCTACATACATACTACACGTATATTTAATTATTTATATTTATTAATCACATTTATTCATATATATTATAATTGACAAGCATAGCCGCGCGAGACCTGCAGTATTAATTTATTTGTCTCCTACCGGCCACTTTTTATGTTTTCATCTATATTATAATATTACTTATAACAGTTAGTAGATGCCTTGCCAGCTGACACTAACCACTTACTTTGTAAAATTCTATCGTTTGCGCTAATTAATGTATGTGGACTTCTTGTGTTTGTGCTTGTATATTGTTACAACTTGTATGTTACTGTGTATACTCCTAAACTTTCTTCTTCTGTACATTATTACGTGAGTGTTAAATTATTTCAATATAATAATTTATTAAGTGACGACAATAAGACTTTTATTCGTGTTCTCTCGTCACGACTCAAGTCAGCTAAAGTACCAACCTTCTAAATCTCAACATATACATACACACATAAAAAAAATAATTAAATGTGGCACTCGGAGACTGCCGCGGTAAAGCTATTGCATAGCATTTTTATCAACTTATGCAATTATAATTATTTATTTTTATTAGTATTTCACGCCATCTAGTTCCATGGTAAGCTACGAGGCCTGTGTTATGGATACCAGGTAGTTGATACACTACACATATATAACTTTAAATACATACATATTATAAATATAAACACCAATGACTGGAGTACAAACATTCGACAACACACAAATGAATGCCCCCAGCGGGACTCGAACCCGCGACCGCTGGCACAGAAAATAGGGTCACTACAAACTGAGCCAAGCGTGTCGTCAAACGTGACTTAAAACATAAATATCAAACTACTATTTTGTTTTGTTGCGCCATCTAGTGACCATATTCTTATAGCTGTGAATAAAAGTAGCGTAAGACAGCTAGTTCGTAGTTTTTATACAAGATGGCACTAGCTCATAAAAAAATAAACTTTCTCACAAAAAGCTGATTACGGTAGTTTTACAATACAATCAATGCCACCTAAAGGCGGGTTGCTGAACTAAAGAGACAAGCGTGATATTTCAAAAAGTCATTAAAAGTTCTGGTATTTATCGATAGATGGAAAAACTAAAAAGTATCACCGCTGTGCCGGTCGGAGTGGGGGGTGTCAGGTTTTTTTTTCGTTACGGAATTTCTGGATTCGGTCCCCACGCTCAAGGCCCGAATGGATAGAAGGATAGAAGCTATGCAATAGCTTAAAAATAAACCACACCTGTTCCTTCTCCTTGGCCATGTTCTCGAACTTGGCTCTGATGGAGCTGGGCTTGGCGCCGCCAATGTCTGGCCTCTGCTTGGTGTAGTTGGTGCCAACTTTCTCAACCTCGTCGAACCTATGCGCGCACTTGTCCACTCTATCCGTCTCTATTCCGAATTTACCTCCGAAGCCCTGGAATTTAAAAATAAATAGTTATATAATTAATTATAAATTACTAGCAGACCCGGCTTCGTTCACGCTAGAACTACAAAAAAGACAGTTTTTGGCTTTATGCTTTATACATATATTTATACTAATATTATAAAGAGGCAGTTTGTTTGTTTAAACGCGCTGATCTGAGGAACTACTAATCCGATTTGAAAAATTCCTTTTGAGTATAGGCTATCATCATCCCGAAAAAACGTACGGTTCCCGTGGGATAGATTTGTTTTAGTCTAAGTACGAAGTAGTTTAGTCTAAGTATGAGTCGGTAGTGCACAACAATATCGTATGTAGCCGAGGTCCCGGTCCGGACACGGCCCACAAACGCACCTTCTTGTGGTCCAGCTGGCTGGCGTGCGGCGCCGCGCGCTCGCGGTGCTCCCAGCCCAGCGCCGCCGCGTCCTGCCGGTCCCGCTGCACGCCGAACTTGCCGCCGAAGCCGATCGCGTAATCTTCATACAAACAAAATTTATATATTAACACGTGAAGCAAAATCTATGTACCCCTTTTTGAAGAAAATTACGCGGACGGAGGAGTATAAAATTTCCCACACTTATCTATACTAATATAATATTATAAAGAGGTAAAGTTTCTGAGTCGGTGAGATTGTGAGTTTGTGACGTTGTAGGGGGTAATCTTTGGATCTACTGAACCGATTTAGATGAAATTTGGTAAGAAGATAGTTTGAGTACCTGGTGAGGATATAGAATACTTTTTATCCCGGAAATCACCGTATTATAATAACCGCAGTTCAACTAAGACTGAATTTATCTATGGAATCCTATGGCTATTTAATCTAATTGTACCACTGTGTGAAGTACAAGGGAGTATGGGAGTATGGGGAATTATGATAGGGTATACATACTACACTTTCATATAGTAAACCAATATATATAACAGTGCGTGTATGTGTGTTTTTGTTACTCTTTCACGTTGCAATGGTTAGACGAGTTTTGATAAAATTTACTAATAGGTAGATTATGACTTGAAGTAGCACATAGGCTACATTTAGTAATAAACTAACGACTCACTCTCGCTTCGCTCGGGTTCGTCCCTAGGTACGTTTTAACGGTTATTATGAAATACAAATCTTTGAATTTGTCGGCTTTTCTGTACTATAAAGAGTTTTTAATACAAAATTATTGACGTTTTCATGTCAATTTTATTTATTTATTATTGGTATCAAATACATATTTTCCTTTTAAAATTTTTATCTATTATAAATATTTATATTATGTATATAAATCTTAGAAATACAGCTTCGTTTTTAAAATAGAAGAAAAAAACTCGATACTGTAAAGTAAAAAAAATATTTTTCGTTCGAATAAATAAACACTTAGGCACATATGTTATTTTGCTACATCCGCGATACTTTTTCCAATTGTAGGACCAATTTAAATAACTATTTCAAATTACATCTCAAAAACAGTAAAATATATAAATAAGGAGGAAAATGCAACCCAAATATAGATATGTGTATGTTCAATATAAAATTACTTAACCAAATCATACCTTTCTGCGAATTATGTGTTTGTGCAGTCTCATGGTGGTCCCAGCCGGCGGCCGACGCGTCCTGTCTGTCTGTCTGAACACCGAATTTACCTCCGAAACCCACTGAATAGTCTTTTTGTGATGGATGTTTCTCAACTTGCTCCTTATGTTCCCAGCCGGCTGCGCTCTAAATGATTGATTTGGAGGATTTAATAGATTTATGCAATAGCATTTGCGATAATCCCATCGGTAATATATACGTAAGAATCAAATTTCATACTTGTAAGTTTAGAAATTACGAACTCCCGCACAAGTTATCCCTAATTTAATTAAGCTTTTTAGATAGGTAGTACTTTAAAAATCCTTCTGCTCACCCTTTTAAATTTTTTTGTAAAATTTAATGCTCATACCCTCAGATTTTTGTTTTATTTTTAGTTTACGTTGCCATTCAGTCAATGAATATAGAAAAAAAAAATACTATTTTATTAAAAAAAAACATTTTATCAAAAAAAATATTAAATCTGAAAAAAATTTATTACAAATCATATTCTCTTGCACGATTGTCCGTCACTAAATAACAATCCCGCCTCCCACATACATATTTTTACTAAAAGAGGTTTTAGAGATATTAAGTCCCTATTAGACTCCTTTTTCCTGTAATATATAGGTACACGTCTATTATTTCAAAGTGGAATAAATCACATATATAACATACCTTATCAACTCTGTCCGTCTGTACACCATATTTACCACCGAAACCCTTCGCATAGTCAGACTGGGAAGCGTGTTTCTCTACAGTGCCCACATAATCGTGTCCCACCGCACTTGCATCCATCCTGTCCTTCTGCACACCGAATTTACCCCCAAAACCTGATATGGAATGAGGATTATTTGTTATTTAATTACTTATTTACTTTCCAAAACTTGTAGCACACTTTGGAAACTTATGGACCGGAACAGATATGTATAGAGTTAATACGAAAAATACTTTGTAGAAAAAAAAAACTAGCTAAACATCAATTATACTGGTTGTAAATTGTAGTCTTTCCAAAGACAAAACAAAACATTATTACAAGTCTGTAATATGGTTGGTTGGTTATGTTCGCTAATCTCTGGAATGGATAGTTGGATTTTGACAGGATATTCACATAGGGATAGAACAATAGAGCGAGAGTGATATGGGCTACTTTTTATCCTGAAAAAGGGTAAAGGATGTCACAAGACAAAAGCTATATGGGATATATAAATCTATGAATTTTACAATCAATTTAATAATTAATTATTCTGAATCCGGAAGAGACAAAGACTTTAAAAACCAGGAAAATCGCACATAAAACATACACATACACACAAAAATATAACAATGTATACCATTTACCTTGTGCATAATCTTTCTGCGAGACGTGCTTCTCAGTTTTGCCGACGTAGTCGTGTCCGACGGCAGACTTATCCATTCTATCCGCCTGTACGCCAAACTTACCACCATAACTACGTAACAACAATATCTTTCATCATCATCATCATCATATATGTAAAACTCCATAAACATATGTTCTCTATGGACTTCAAAACGACTGAAGCGATTTTGATGAAATTCTCACTGCGGGTGATCCTGTGTAGTTTGGTAGCGATAGGAATTTTGAATGCTGTACTGTTATTCGATAGTTAGATATCATAAACTATTTAACACTTTTAAGTAGTGATCATACTTTGTACAAATGAAAAAGAAAGTTCTTAATTCGGCTTTTATTGTAGATTTATTTAGTTTTTTTTTACAACGTTTCAAATACTTTACAGCAAACACTGCCACGAAAAAGGCTCAGGAAAAAATAAATTTTATTTAAAATGTCAGATATCGAGTGAATCAATTTAATTATAAAGGCAACACCCATAGGATACATTTAAAAGAATAGACCAGAAACTCTTCTACAAAAAAATATGTTATTTATTATACGTGGAACATTTTATACCGAACAACATTCACTTACCCAAAAGACGACTTTGGCCCTTCTTCATATTGCTTTTGTTTTGCTTGTTTGTCTGCTTCGAACACTTCCTCTCTTAATTTAGCCATACTATAATATAAACAAAATATATACATAATAGATATTTAACATACATTTATGTAGTATCGTGATGAGAGGCGTTTAAAATATCTAACTTACTAACATTTGAAATTTCTTCATATGAGAAGAATCTGGTAGAATTAGTTAAAAAATACTATATGTTGTTATTGTTAAATATATATACTTAGATAATAATTTATGATAGCCACTTAGACTACCCTTGAATATAGTATACGTGACGGCTTCAGTCCCTATAAGTAAATGAGTTTAAATGCTTAATCGAATGTTAAATGTCCCTAACAAAAAGTATCAAATGAATATCTTGAGTGTGAAACCTTTTCAAAGGAAGGGGGCTGAGTAAATAATATCTATCCGAAAGATTCTAAAGATAGACAAAGCCATGCACGAAGTGTTTTGTACATTAAATATTTTTTGGAAAATCTTATTGAAATAGTCAGTATTATCGAAGCAGAGACCGGATATATATATATGGTTTTTATAATTTTTGTCTGTCTGTCTGTGACCGCATCACGGAAAAACCACTGGAGGAATTTTGATGAAATTTGGTATGATGATAGCTGGTTATCCGGGTCAACATATAGGATACTTTTTACTAAGGGAAAATATCTCATCTCTGAGAAATCTAGTATAAACGTTAAAACGTAAGTAGTGACAAACCCGAGCGGAGCGAGGGTAAGTCATTATAATGCGTGTTGTAAAAACATACATATACGGTTTTTTTATTGATAACACTAATGCTCGGCAATATCTACTAAGCAAAAAAGAACCGGTTGAGAAAGGTACTGACTTTTGTCTTTTCCCATTTATATATATGTAGATTACAAGATAAAAGGGCTGCTTTGATTTACGGTTTATCTAGTAGGTACATATAGGTAAATATTACGATTACGAAATATATTTAAATATGTATGTATACGCGCTGTATTACTAATTCATACACACAAAATGATTGTATTACAATTGAGTAAACAAATATTATTCTTTAAATGTCAACTACTTCAAAAGTTTCGAGTTTATCATCGGCTATTCTCATCAAAAGAGAATTACGCAACCGTTGTTAGCTTCCTCACCTACGAGTACAATTCTGACATTTTATTAAATGTTAAAAGGTGAAGCCTAACGATTTCAGAAAGCTCGTAAAATATTTATATATAATATGAATAAAATAATATTTTGGTCTGATAATTTGAGAAGAAACATCAACAATTTTTGAAAAACTAAATTAATTTTAAGCTTTCTTAAGCTTTTTCAGCGCAACTATCATTAATCCATCTCCACATCGCAAACTACTTCAGTAATTTAAATAAAAATATCGATATTTATTTTAATTAGAGTCTTATAGAGTATGCTCAACACTCATAATAAGAGACGAGGGCTTTTGTATTAAAAAAATTAAACCTCATGATTGGCTAGCACATGCACTTATCAGAAACCTTCATGAGAAATATATATAAAAGAAAGTCGGGTTACACTATTTATAACCCAAAAATGGCTGGACCAATTTTGACGATCTATGATTAGTTGGATTTATCCTCCGCCCCGAATAACAGAATATGTGTTTTTTTTTTAAATTTACATCTGTCTGTCTGTGACCGCATCACGAGAAAACCACTGGACACATTTTGATGAAATTTGGTGTGATGATAGCTGGTTATCCGGGTCAACGTATAGGATATTTTTTACTAAGGTAAAATATCTCATCTCTGAGATATCTAGTATAAACGTTAAAACGTAACTAGGGACGAACCCGAGCGGAGCAAGAGTGAGTCGCTAGTAAAATAATAAAAATGCAGTACGAATTCTTTTATATGAAAAAATAAAAATAGATGCATAAAAATAAGAGATAATCGTAGAATCATTAGGTGCATATTAAATCTTAATGAGTCCTATTACGCTGGAGTTAGCATATCTGTGGTATTTTTTTGATATACTAGTTTTTAGTCTCTAGCTGCAAAAAAAATCATTTTTTTATATTTAACCCGTGAAGTATCATATGGCAAAACCTTGAATATAATATTTTAACAGCACCATATTGTTTACTGGTGACTTAACCTCGATTCACACGAGTGCGTTCTTAACTACCTTTTTCCTCGAACCCGCGACCGCTGGCACAGCAAGTAGGGTCACTACACACTGAGCCAAACGTATCAAAGCCAGCCATTTTAACTTAGAGGAGTAACAAACATACATACAAAACATTCGTATTTACATATAACAGTAGCGTAATTATTGTCATATCGTTTAAATATTCAATGAGACTCGGATACACCTACACAATTTCCTTTCAATTTATTTCGAGCTCGGTTAATGCACTTGTATGATACATGCATTCAATAAGTGAAAATATGTAGTATGAAAAACAGATAATGAGGAACGATATCTTTGTATTAAACATACATATTATATATTACACTAGCGATCTGCTCGTAATTTGCTTGGCTGTTTTTTACTACAGAATTTTTTTCATAGTAGAAATACCAATGCTTAAGTTTGCTACATGAAAATAATAAGTAATAGCTAAAATGTACAGCTGTAGATCTGACGGTTCAGGGTTCGTAATATTAGTAAATTGTAAAACCTCATTAGGGATATCATAATTTACAAATGAATTCAATATTAGCAAAATCCGATGAGTTCGGTGTGTAACCACCCTTACGTCGAGAGAAAACTATCTTAATTAATACCACGCCTCGCGTGTAGAAACATCATGTACATTAGACATACAATACATTAAGATTTGAAAATGGCTACCAATTGTTAACAATTTATAATGATTGCAAGCAATTTTCCTCTGTAACATATGAAAAGGAGTCTATGACACATTTCAGCCATACAAATTTTGTGTATAAAGGTAACTTATCACCTAAATTACCATGTGAACTTTCTATTGTATTTTAATCACATTATTATTACAAATACAGAAATTTGTATGTATGTATATATGTATGTTTGTTTGTTTGTTGTTTCACACTAAAATGGCTGGGCAGATTTGGATAAAATTTACCATACAGATAGACTATGAACTGGAGTAATGCATAGGCCCTGTTAAGCAACTATGGACGCACTGGAGCAAAGCGAGGTGGACAAACTAGTATTGTCAAACAGAAAATAACAGTATATATTGCACTCACTCAATAGCCTCAACATGTCTTCCACCAGGACCCCATCTCTGCTCCTGTTCAGTCACATCGTTAACAAAGTCAGGGTCCGTCTCCCAGTCGTCAGCCTCCGCCGGCGCTGGAGCCGTCACGTCTGTCGCTGCTTTCCACATCTATATATTTTGTACAATTTAAAAACACTTTTTCACTTATCATGTTAAAATTATAAAAAAAACATATGTAATTTAATCTATAATAGGTATATAATAAGTAAGTTTTTAACAAAATTTGTTAGAAATGTTACATGATAATCTGATTTAAAATCTGCACATTATTAAAGAAAATGTTGGACAATTTCAATTATATTTTCCATTCAGAATTGGGCTGCTCTTGATCTTACAAAAAGAAGAATAAAGCTTCAGATATATTTTTATTATGAAGAAATCCTACACAACTTTTTTCATTAGTTGCTTTTTACAATTATGAAATTTTGGATGATATATCTTTAAACTGCTATTACTAAGCACTACCACTATGTTAGCATATTTTGGATGACAGTAAACATATTTTATTTCACATGCTTTTAATCAAAGCAAAGCAGGACTTTCAGGAAATAATTAGAATCACTTCACTTTAGTTTTATCATGAAATTGATTTGATAATTTGAATATTATATGTAAAACCTTTCAAATGCTATTGCATTGAATGATTTTTATATTATTTTAATTAATATTCTTTTCAAACTTTCATTTCTTTTTAGCTTAATTTTTTTTAAATTCACTTTTCATTATGAATTATTTAAGCAAAAATTTACTGTCCTTACTTTTATGTTTTAATGTTTAAACAAGTTCAATTTTCTATTCAGTGACATCAAAGTCTCTTTATATTCATAATACAAAATCTACATGTGTGATTTGGTAGAACTGTTTTATTTTTGAATCATCCTACTGAATATCCAACATTGTAGACATATGGTGTACATCTGTTAGTATTACAAAATACAAATTATATTTCTTAATAAAAAGAAAATAAGTATGAGTCATAGAGTATCTAGAAGCAATATTAATTTTCTAAATTTCTGTACAAGTATGTTTTTATCTTACCTATGATTATTATCCACTGTTATCTTAACTTGATAAATTTATGAATCTTTGTTTATGTAATTGTAAACTCTCGAATTTTTACAAACATTTATTTTTAATGTCTTGTTTCGTTTTTGTTCAAAACATAATCAAATAGTAAGCTACACTTTACAGGAAAGTGGAAACAAAAACCTACATACCTTATAGCCGGTTTTGATGTTTCAAAATTCCCAGGGAAGTTATGGGCGTGTTATTGATCGGTTACCAATAAACGAAACACAAAACTTGTAAATTTTATAAACATGAGTTTACATAAATCTAAATTCTAAATTTAGTTTCAAAATTACTAGAGGTAAAGACCAAAACAGGGAAAATAATTGCGAAAAATCGGGAAGTTGAACGATGCGTCATGTAACGTCATGATAACTGTGTTGACGTTGACGTTTTAAATTGTCTATGGATATGTTGTTTAAATGTCAATTAATGTATTTAAAAACTGCTTAGTCCAATTTTAGTATTTATTAAAAAATATAATATTTTTATATCATTTACAATAAAAACCTTAGATTAATCCTAGGTAGTAATTAAAATGTTGGTAAACAGTACGCGTGTCTAATTTTACCAAGTCTACTCGACGCTGAAATAAGCGCTAAATAACAATAATTATCTAACAGCGAAATAAATATTTTAATATAAATATATAATTGAAGCAAACAATATTTTATTTTAAAAGCATTTCATTAGATTTCTATTTTTTTATAAGCAATAGGTATTAATTATTATAAGCTAGCAACCTTGTTCTCAACAAATCGATGACAGCGACGGGATTTTTCAGTCGGGAGGAGTGACGACATTTTGTCAATAAATTGTTGATTTTAGTCAAGTGTTAAGTAAATTTTTGTTGCAATTGGTGTTAAAAGCCATAAAAATGGCAGATAATGAACAAAAAGCGATGCAGCTTATGGCAGAGGCGGAGAAAAAGTTGAGTTCGTCTAAATCATTCCTAGGATCACTGTTCGGGTGAGGACAATGACTACTCATTATTTTGTTGATTTTCGCCTAATTACCCTTTTAACTCCATCTTTCATGTTATCATGACACCTATAGCTTTCCATTTAATTTAATATACTACGGACTATCATGGTCAGTACCAAAAAAAAGTCGTCTAATTAATTTTGTATTGACAAGACCCGTTACTAGATGTGATTTGATAAAATTCAAGCGTAATAACTAATAAGTTTGCAAATGAATTTAAAATTTCACAAACCGTATTCCAATGATTAATAGTGAGTAATGAATCATTGGTAATTTCGCAATAACTATTGATTTGCTTTCTAAGCCGTTAGAATATACGGCAGTTGGTTTTTATAAAGAAAAACGATGTTTGACAAGGATTTACTTCTTTCAGTAATATTTCTAAACAAGTCACACTTTTGAATGCATCAAATATAAATGTATCTTATTCATAGAAAAATATATTTTAAAAATCATAAGGTATACAACACATTTTTAGTTAAATTTTGTTTTCAAATATACAAAATTTTAAACAGCGGATCAAGTAAAGTGGAAGAAGCCGTGGATTGCTACCTCCGAGCAGCCAATCTTTTTAAGATGGCCAAGAAGTGGCCTCAAGCTGGTCAAGCCTTCTGTAATGCTGCTCAACTGCATATTAAAGCTGGTGTCCGCCATGATGCCGCTACAAACTTTGTTGATGCTTCTAATTGTTATAAGAAGTGTGATCCTAATGGTTTGTATTGTAATTATTAATTTAAATTAACAGTCTTCTTTTAAAATAGCATTTTTATTATTTACAAAATAAAAACAGTATTCTATGAATAGTTCATCTTTACTAATATTATAAAGAGGTAAAGTTTGTGAGGTTGTAGGGAGTAATCTCTGGATCTACTGAACCAATTTAGATGAAATTTGGTAAGAAGATAGTTTGAGACCCTGGGAAGGACATGGATACTTTTTATGCCGGATATCATCCCATAAGGGGTTGAAAATGGGGATAAAATTTTGTATTGGGTAGCAAGTTAGGGACAAACCTGAGCGAAGCGAAGGTGAGTCGTTAGTCTAATCTATAAATGCAAACCTAGTAAAAATATTGTAGTTGATATCCAACTGGGTATTGTGTTTTTTGCTGATTACTGTGAAATCTGCTAACATTTTAGTAATCTGCAATATATTTTTTATATATTAATTATAAATGTGGATTAAAACATGACATTCTCCATTCAGTGAATGAAAAAACATATCCCTAAGATATTTTTTTTATTTATATAAACTGTAGAAAACAATTTAAATATATTATGTAATTATAGAAATTAGTGTAATAATTTAAGGCTTAACTAAATTATATCCATAATGTATACATTTGGCACTGTTACTGGGCATTCACTCAACTTTCAATTCAATACGTTATGAGGTCAATGACCTATTTTTACCATGGTTCGAAACGATAATTATCATTGATAATTATCACGATAAATATCGATTGATAATTATCTTTGATAAATATAATTGAAAATATTTAATTTGTAATTCTTCAAATTGTCGATCAGCTAACTGAAATCTCTCAATCAGCTCAACAAACTCAGTAAACTGAGTTAATGCAGTTGAGGAGGATGAGGATGATATTTCACTCATTAAGGAGTCTGCCCACTATACCGTCTCATACCATGACCGTGCTATGAACGTATCAGGCACGGAAACAAATGACACGGATTACTATGCCCACTAGAACGTATCATTCGCGTGTCATATCCGTATAGTTCCCGTTTTCTCATTCATAGTAGTTCACCTGTGTTTTCGCGTGAGGCAGCCGCGTCAGGAAGAGCAAGTGAATATTTTTGTTACGAAAATTATTTCCTATACCAATACGATGGCTATTAGAAACTATTCCGACAGAAAATTAACAATGATAGCCATTGTTTTAGACGAGGAAGAAAGAGAAGGATATCAGTCGATCACGACGTTTCTAGGTTCACGCCGTTTAAAAAAATATAATTTAAAAGAAAATATTATCACTAGAAGACAAGTGACAACACGTTTATAACGGTCTTAGAACGGACATCATACGCAGTAATAACCCGTGTGCTTACCGTTTCGCCGTCCGCGCGCACCGGTTCGGCAACGTCGCGTGTCAGCCACGGAGCGTATCGGCATCGGCGAAATATTCTTGCCGACAATTATTGTTACCTTTCCATGCACGGCACACGTCGGTGTTGGTTGGTGACGGAAAGTTCTTGGTCGGTGATGGAACGGTCTAGTGGGCATAGTCTCATACTTTTCAATACAAAGGATATTTTTTGTCTGACACGGCCCTAGCACGGTCATGGTGTAAGACGATATAGTGGGCAGGGACCTTTAATTTAATTTAATAGTGTCTATATAGTGAGTTAAATTTATTCTGTTTTTATTTCCAAGCTTGTATATGTCAAAATAATAATAATAAAAGATTACCTTGATTGTTAAAAGTGTATAATTTATTCTAACGTAAATTATGATAGGCAAGTAGTCAAATACCAATACCTACACAAGGATTGCTAAGTTTATATCTGTTTGATAATTATCTGATAATTATCGCGATAATTATCAAAAGATATATTTATCTTGATAATTTCATACCCTGATTTTTACTATTAGGCTATTACACGTTATATAATAATAATAATAATCTTTATTTCAGACGTAAGTACATGCATATATTGTTAATTGGTTAGTAAAAATAAAAGAGATAAAAGAGATTAGTTTCTCATGTTTTTTTTTCTTTATAGAAACAAAAGAGTATCATTATCAATGAGGTAATGATTGTGCTATAAAAAGCTCAGTTTCTAGAAACTTTTCTTTAATTTTATTCATATTAAATGTGGTTGTCAATTATTAACTTAATAATCATCAATTATTAAATATTTTAAATGATTACCTCTAAGTTTTTTTTTTTTAATTATAGTTCTGAGTTTTAGGTTCAGATAGAGGTGGGCAAAGTGTAAAACATCATATTGAATCCATTCACTATTTCTAATATTCTTCATTTATTTGTAGGGCTCCCATGTATTGGAGTGACTTTTAATAATATTATTCTTTTTTTTTTTTGGTAATGGCTTAGAATCGCGTATTATTCTTTCTATTAACTTAAACTAGAAATAATATAATCAATTTTTATTGTAGTGATTCAAGTCATTTTAAAGGTCCCATTTTTATAATTTGGAATACTACTACTAAACTTACTTTTTAAGGCTTTAAACTTTTGAAATTTTTATTTTACTTAAGCCTTTGATATTTTTAACCCATACTAGGCAACAGAGATGAGCTAATCTTGAAATTTAACAAACACCTTTAATGGCATGTTTGCATTTCGATAGATTCCGTTTAAAACATTTTTTTCTTTTAAATAATAAATAGAGATATCCTATCATTTAATAAATGGCATTTTTTTTTAACGTTGGGAAATGCATTTACGCACGACGTGTGGGACTCACCGGCGTAATACATCCAGTACTACCCACTAAAACCCAACAAAACCTTCCCCCGTCTTAATGGGGCGTCGCAGGATCGCTTACGCATTCAACTACGACGCCCCGACGGCAGGTCTGCCGAAGCAGACCACCACAACCATGGGGTTGCTCCACAGTCCACTCTGCTATCAGAGAAGTACCAGGAGCAACCCGCAAGGTACACCGCCCTCCGAAGAGGGCCACCTCCCACCGCCCACCGAAGTGGGCAACCTCCCTGTGCGTTTCTTAGCTTCGCGCCCGGTTGGATTGCCGGGCACTACTGAGCCCCCCCACCACGACAAGGTGAACGCGCGTTGGGGGGGAATAAATGGCATGCCTGGATTTAAAACTTGTCTCAAAATTGTAATGGGATTTTAGTTTTGAAGAAAATTTACTTCAAGGATTTTTGGATTTTTATAAAAATACTAGCAGAACCCGCGGCTTCGCTCGCGCTAAAATTACAAAGAAAAATCTCTAAAAAGGTAGTTTCATACAAAATTTCATCCTCTATTTTACCCCCTTATAGGATGAATTTGGAAAAATGTAAAAACACGTATTTATTTAATATTTTATTGCAGAGCATTAATACAAAGTTTCAAGTAATTCTATTTATGAATATATTTTTTTTGGATTGTATTATAACGTTTTTTCCCGTGGAAATTAGATAATCTCTCGCGGTAAAATGTATGCCTATGTCACTCTCCAGCCCTCCAACTATCTCCACACAAAAAATCACGCCAATCCGTCACTCCGTTTCGACGTGAAAGAAGGACAAACAAACAAACAAACACACTTTCACTTTTATAATTATATTAGCATGGATTAATAATCAATATTTTTACAATATTTGTTTACTGTTACTTCAATTATACTGGGGCTTTTCTTATTTTAAATTAGATTACTTCCGTATTTTTTGTCTAAATGAGAATTTTGAATTTTGAAGTGAATGACATTACTCATAATGATTATGTTAACATAAATATTGTTAGAGAACGATTTCATTAGCGCACACATTAGATAATTGTTCAGCACAAATTTTGATAGCGAACCGCCGATAAGCGTGATTCTTAATATCAAAAACTAACGCGTTCTCGTTTCGTTTCGGTCATGACCTAACTCTATTTAAATTTGTTTTTTTTTTTAAGTAAACCAAAACCAAAAAAATAACCGCGAAAAAAAATCCGAAAAGACAGTTTTAATTAGAATGTCAAATATTTGCGTAAATCTAAGAAATGTTTTTTTTTTTCTTGCGGGATATCTTCAGTTGTAAGTCAAAAGTTAAAGTTATATTCTATTTCTTTTAATTCTTTAATGGCCAGTGTAAATGTCGTTTAATTTTGTTAAGTCTTTAGTTTAACATTTTTTTTTAATTTCACAAAATTTGCTTAGCGTATATCTGGGTTTTGCTATCGTCCATAACAACATGAATATGACACTTCTATAGATTTTCACTACTCTACCAAATTCCTTTGAACTCGATATTTTCGCTGAACTACTTTCAACTCGCATATACATTATATGTTACAAATGTTAATTCATTACCCAGATAGTGTCAATCTAATGATATATGGCCGATGGATTTATATATAACTAGCATTGCCCGCGGCTACAATGCAGTTTTTGTATTTTTTCTCAGAAATGAGATATTTTCCCGCGTAAAAAATATTCTATATGTTGACTCGGATAAATAGTTATCATCATACCAAATTTCATCAAAATCTGTCCTGTGGTTTTCTCGTGATGCGGTAACAGACAGACAGACAGACAGACAAAAATTCTAAAAACTATAGATTCGGACTCTGTATCGATAAATAATGTCTGTTTCTATCAGTGATTCCAAAAAATATTTAATGTACAGATTCGACTTAGTTACAATTTTATTATATGTATAGCAGTTATATAATCTTTAAATACAGAAAAGAGAAGAAGATAGTCTTTCTTCTTCTTGTTCACAGCTTGTTTTCTTCTTCAACTTCTATCATGTCAGCGTACACGTCTTTCACATCCATATGTATATGCCTTTTTAACACAGTATCAATACTTTGCTTGGTTTATCTCTATTTATAACATTAACAAATCAAAAAAAAAAAAGAAAAAAATTGGAAATATTTTTTCTGATACAATAGTATAATAAATATATTATCTGTTTTATTTGAATGCATTATTGGTTTTTATGTTGATTAATTTAGATATTTTATTCATAAAAACATAAATATCTGTATTTTTAGAGGCCGTGTCCTGTCTGTTGAAGGCGATTGAAATCTACACCGACATGGGTCGGTTTACTGTAGCAGCTAAACAACATCAGGTATAATTAATAGCTCGTCCGTACGAAAAATTATATTAAAAAATATATAGGAAACTATCGTCATGATCATTTTTTTTACTTTAGTTTGTAGGGCTATGTACCCGAAGGGTGCCAACGGAACCCTATTACTATGCCTCCGCTGTTAGTCTGTCAGAGCCCTATCTCATGAACCGTAATAGGAAGAGAGTTGAATTTTTAGGTGTATGTATTTCTATTGCCGCTATAATAGCAAATAATAAATGAAGACACATTTTTTAATATTCGTAATAGATCAACGAAGTTAATAGAGTAAACTTTTATACTATTAGACAAAATCCGAAAAGACAGGTTCATTTAAAACGTTCATTTAAGAACGTAACGTACATACAACAGATAACTTTCTCGTCGCTCAAAATGTTTATAAAATCTAACTGAATAAAGTATACGATATTTCAGTTCATAAAAGTAAAAATTTGAAAAAAATAATATTCGTGAGCCCGTAACTTTGTTGTTATTGATGATATGAAAAAGTTGATATGGACTTTTTTATAGGATTTTAAACGTACTACAAATTTGCCATTTAACATTTTTCTGTAACTCTTACAGTTTAGCTAAAAAATGCAAAAAACCATAAATTTGAACTTTAAAGCTATATAACAAATAAAATATTGAAGATAGAAATTCGACTCAATGGAACTTTTTGTAGTAAATTTAATAGTAAAAACGGTCTATTCACTCATTTTTTTGAAAAATATTTTCGTCATAGTTTGCAGGACAAAAGAGTGTTAAAAATCATATTTTCCATACAATTTGTATGGGAAAACTTTAATTTCGATGGAGAACCTCTTAGAATTGGAATTTTGAGCTCCGCTTTTAACAGAAGCTTTGTTGGGACATTTTCTAAGATATTTTGGGGTGAGAGCGAAGAAAAAAAAAATCGTCATTTTTTGACACGCCCTAATGTACACATACATATAACAAATCGAACCCCCACACCTCCCAGAACATAGCGGAGCTATACGAGACCGAGTGCGTGGACCTGGCGCGTGCGATGCAGCACTACGAGCAGGCGGCCGACTACTTCCGCGGCGAGGAGTCCACCTCCTCCGCCAACAAGTGCATGCTGAAGCTCGCGCAGTACGCCGCCCAGCTGGAGCACTATGACAAGGCGATACAGATTTATGAGCAGGTGTGTGTGCACACATACAAACATACAAAAATAAAGACTAAATATAGACAAATTAGAATTCTGAAAAATGTATGTATAATTATTTGAGTCTGCTCTCGATTTCCACTGTTGTTTCAAAATAAATAAATAAATATATATATATTGGTACATTAACACTCAGCGCCATCTAGTTCCATCGTAAGCTACGAGGCTTGTGTTATGGATACCAGATAGTTGATACACTACACATATATAACTTTAAATATTACACTATTATAAATATAAACACCCATGACTGGAGTACAAACATTCGTCATTACACAAATGAATGCCCTCAGCGGGACTCGAACCCGCGACCGTTGGCAAAGCAAGTAAGATCACTACAAACTGAGCCAAACGTGTCGTCAAACATTGGAAATTTTAACAGGATTGTAGAGAAACTTCCCAAACTTCAGACTTGTAACTTGAAAGTCCAGAAGTGAATATGATGACATACAGACACGACACAAAAAGCCGAAAACAAATAAGAATTTGACATGAAATTTGTGGAAATGTAAAGAATATTTTTTAAGAATTTTTACATACATTGTACAGTGTATACTTACGAAGATCATAATTAAGTGTAATTCGTAAATCAAATTTTTAATATTAAAATTATTGTTAATATTTCAATTAATCAGTTAATTAGAGCTTAAATTTAGTCTGAAACACATCATTATACTATGCTGTGTAATGACGTCACAAGCTGTGACACATGCTCTTCGAGGCGCGGGGTTCAAACATCAACTTCCCACTGATTTCTACTGTCTACTGAGGAAAATCTTAACAGGATAACACAGTATTTAAACTTGGCCCCACCCGGAACTCGAATCGAGGACCTCCAGATCTAGTTAGTCACTATACTACCAAATGCAGTCTTGTGCAGTCTTTTATATTATATGATGTATTTTATAAAATATTTTAAGATATCAATATCTAATAGGTAAAAATGTATTTTACGTATCAAAATATATTAGATTTGCTTCGCATCGGCTGGCACCTACTTCGAAAATATCCGATCAGGTATCTATTCTAAATGAAAACCTCCGTTTAGTTAATTTTTTACATTTTAGTGCCTGGAAGTCGGTTTTTATTTTTTGTTAAAAAAAATTTATAGGTCGATTTACCATAATCCTATACAAGTTTTCATGAATATGTCGTGTACATACGAGCAGATAGCCAAGTCGTCGCTGGACAACAGCCTGCTGAAGTACAGCGCGAAGGAGTACATGTTCCGCGCGGCGCTGTGCCACCTGTGCGTGGACCTCCTCAACGCGCAGCACGCGCTCGAGAAGTACTGCGCGCTCTACCCCGCCTTCGCCGACACCCGGGAGTGCAAGCTCGTCAAGGTACGGAGATGTGTGCGGTACATAATCCATACATACATACTTAATATTCTAAATGTAAAAGTGTGTTTGTTTGTTTGTCCTTCTTTCACGCCCAAACAGATTGGCGTGATTTTTTTGTAATGATCAGCATTACTTGAAACTTCGTATTAATGCGCTTCAATAAAATAAAATTAATAAAATTAAATCATTTTTCGAAACTCATTCTATATGGGGGTAAATTAGGGGATGAAAGTTTGTATGAAACTACCTTTTTAAAGATTTTTTGGTAGTTTTAACGCGGGCGAAGCCACGGTTCTGCTAGTATCCTATAAATCTAATATATGTATAAATATCTCGTGTCACGGTGTTTGTGGTCGCTCTCCTTCGAAACGGCTCGACCGATTTTAATGATATTTTTTTTTGTATATTTGGTATGTATGAGAGTAGGTCGTAAAATATATCCCAGTGGGCACGGGTTTCTCTTCAATACATGAGGGAGCAGGCCATAGTTATGCCACATATACTAAAATCATAAAATTCCACATAATTCTAAAATTCCTAATCTGTATTTGATCTAATTCATAATAATTTTAATTTTCAGGAGCTAATCGAACACCTAGAGGAACAAAACATGGATGCGTTCACCGAATCAGTGAAAACATACGATAGTATATCTCGCCTCGACCAGTGGTACACCACCATGCTGGTCCGCATCAAGAAACAAATCAACGACAACCCTGATCTCCGCTAAATTGTCAATGCCCTCACCCGTCTCCTGTGAGTGTCTATAGTAATCTACATATTAGTTGTCTGTCTGTGTGGTGCACTTGTTTGATATGTCTGTGAAATTGCGCGTTAGTCTATGTAATTACGGTTAGGTTTTTAATCTGTGCATTTTTTTTTATTTCATTGTTATATGGTATTTCTTTTTTATGATATTTTCTTTACTGTATTTAAAATTTCACCGAAAGTTATTTTTCAATTTGTTTGTAAAGTAATTTAATTACTTTTTTATTTATTAAATAATAATAGATTTTGTACAGTCTGTATGTTTTGTTTTTCTGTTTGCTGTTTGCACCTACAAATTATTAAAAAAATACAGATAAAAAATTGTGCGCAATAATATGTAGATTAAATATGGCGGTTAGTATCGAAGGAGCTGAATAATTTTGAATCAATGCCTTTTAATATCCACTAGGAGCGACTTATTACATTAGTATAAGCTAAATACATGATTAAAGGAATTGTAAAAAAATAACGATTTTTAACCTTATCATACAGCGTTACGGTTGAAATTTCAATAAATTACTAGTTTAATAGTGATATAAAGTTATAATAATAGGTGCAGCACCTTAGACGACTTATTTTTCTACAGTCGATATCGATAATAGAGAACTACATATCTATCAAAATATATGAGCGATATTATATTTGGACAACGTCACATAAAGCTAAGATTTCTTATTTAACCAACTTCAAAATAGGCGGAAGTATAATTCGGATCTGTTTTTTATTAAATTTTTAAATATATGTTTTATTTCAAAGTTTTAGTACATTTTTTGTAAAAGAAATAGCTATCTAGGATTCTATTAGCGATAGCGATTGTAGAATATTGTCACGTCTAAGCTCGCAGGTTTAATTCTCGTTAGTTATTTGAAATTAAGGCATTGGGAACTTTTAGCTCAAAGTATAGAAGAGATGAAGAGACGGGGGCATTTTTTCTTAGCTATTGGTAGCATATTTATGCCTATTCATTACATTTGATTGTTTAGGTTAGGTTAGTATAACGTCATTAGTTAAAACATATGATATTAAAATTAATTAGATAACAAAAGAAAATATTTAATACAGGGCCGGCTTGTGAATTTGGGGGGCCTTGGGCTAACACTTCTGGGATTTGGGGGGCCCTGGTCTAAAGCTTCTGAGGGGCCTAAACTAATTGTCATTTTGTCTTTATAAAATCTATAATAATACAAGACTAAATCAAGATAACGCTGTTGTTTGGTTCTTAATTGATATCAGAGTTGTGTGTTTGAGTTGCCAAACTTTTATGGCATTAATTTTTTGAAGTGAAAACTTCTCTAGGCAGGTTTGGATGGGGAGTAAATTCATGTAAGTCGTCATCGACATGGTCACGTGACATGTTAACACTCAGAGTGCCGATAGATTTTGTTATATCTTAGCGGCGCTGGGCTGCAGCCCAAAAATCCTATGTATGGATCCGCCCCTGATTTAATATTACATAATTTTCCTTTTCTTAAAAGATATATTTGAATTAACTGTTAACTGAACATATTGTGATTATATTAAATTATAAATATATATTAATTACAATAGCTTTCAGTATATCAATTTGGCATCAATAAAGATTAATTATCGTTTTATATATAAAATAAGTATAATTATGTTACGTTTTGAATTTTAACTAATGGCGTAATACAAAAATGTTAGTTTGATTTAGTTATAATGTAGCGGTTAAGTCGATTTTCTAAGATTCGTATATACGATGCACCGCAAAATATTCCATACATATAAGTACACATGAACATGGCAATATTATCTGTTATATATAATAATTGCAACACTGATTTTAATATTGCAATAGTATTGCTATGGTATAATGGTTTTTGGTGTTGCTATATATATATGATAATAAAATGTTAGTTTAGTACAATTCTTACTTGTTTTTATTTATTGAATTGTCTGAACAATTTAATTAAGAAAAGCCTTGTTTATTATACATAATATGTAAAATTATTTTACTTTTGATTGGTGTTTGAATTTCTTGATTATTTCAACAAAGTTCCAAAAAAATTGGTTATTTATGTGAAATGAAGTGGAATTTTTACTTAATGGCGTCTCAAAATCATTGTATGATTCAATTTTGTGATTATATTTTGTTTGTAAATATGTATGTTAATTTTATTACGAGTTTCGTTGTAATAAATATATTTATTTTGTTTATTCCCGTTTTTTTTTGTTTTTTTTTCTATTGGTCCATATTGCTGGTGTCCAGTCCAGTAAATTATTCTAAAGTGGTCCATTTTTTTGAAATGATCGCAGTCGTTGTTTGAAATTAAGACTTTTTTGTTATTAGTTTTTATGACAAAATATAAATAAAGTTCTGAGAATAGCTATATATTCATTTATTATTTAAATTAATAAGATGGTATGCTTGTGTTTTAGTAAAATAATAATTTTAAATATATTCACGTTTGGAAATCGTTAGCCCTTTGTTGATTATTTATTTCCGAAATTCATCATGAATTTTCGTCGTCTCAGTGATTATTTGTCCAAACGACCAATTTATCGAAAAAAATTAATACAGAATTATTGATTTTTAAATATTATTTTTATTTGAATATTATTAGATACTAGCATTGCCCGCGGCTCCGCCCGTGTTCAGATGACCAAAAACCAAATTCTTAGGTTTTACAAATTAGTATACTCTTACATTACAGTTTTTGCATTTTTTCTCAGCTATCACCATACTAAATTTTATCATAATCCCTCCAGTGGTTTTTCTGTGATGCGGTAACAGACAGACACAAATTCTAAAAACTATAGATTCGGCCTCTGTATCGATAATAACGTTTATTTCAATAAGATTTTCCAAAAAATACTTAGTTAACGTACAGATTCGGCTCAGTTACAATTTTATTATATGTATAGATTATATTAGATTATTTCTTTTAAAAGGCCGAAATAAATATTTTATTTGCATGTACGTATGGATGTAAATCTTAGATATAGAGCTTTCTTTTTAAAATAGAGTTAAAGTAGAGATTGTAGAATACAAGTATTGATGGTTTGAACAAATAATCACTAATGGCGACGATTTGTATATTTAAACAATATTTTTAATTTTACAAACACCTTAATATTGTGTGACTCATTATGCTAATAATATATGTATGTATATATTAATTTAAATTCAAGGCTTATTTTCTCTGTATAAAAAGAAAAAAAATAAATTATAAAGTCACTGGCCTCATGTAAAATGATATGATCATAATATATTGATAATATTCGTTGGAAATTTGATAGTCTCATTTTAAATATCTTTGAATAAACTTCACGTTCAAAGTTTGTTCTCATTTAAATTGAGTGAATACAATTATATATGTATAAATTATCGTTACAATGTATATATTTCTTGGGGGTCAGGTGAGTATTGAAATTTTCTTTAAAAATTTAATGTTATTCAATTATTTTATTTAAACATAGAAAGGTAGTGGTAGCCAAGTGGTAACGCGCTTGCTCAAGAAACTGAGTGAAGCGGGCTCAAACACCGGGTCTCGCTCTGAGGTGTCCATGTGCGAATCATTTCCAAAATAATTATCTTACGGTAGTAATTACTTGTCTTACGGTGAAGGAAAGTATCGTGAGGAAACCTGCATGTCTGAGTTAACTAAGTACTAGCAAGTTTTCAAAAGACATGTGCGGTCCGCCAACACGCACTTGGCTAGCGTGGTGGGCTATGGCCTGATCTCCCTCGCATTTAAGGGAGTTACATTTTTACTGTAATTGAGATCAAAACCGCCACTCGCACTTAGCTCGTTTTCATTATTTGTTCTTCTAATAGCAAAAACAAAAATAATTTCTAATTTATTCTACCTTTATTCTACTAATATTATAAATTGAAGAGTTGAAAGTTTGTGAAGATAGATGAATGGATGTTTGTTACTCTTTACGCGAGAACGGCTGAACGGATCTGGATGAAATTTGACACATGGATAGTCTGGAATGGCATATAGATTACTTTTTATCCCGGAGAAATGTACAGTTCCCGTGGGATAGATTCGTTTTTGTCTAGGGATGAACCCGAAGTGAAGCGAGGTTGAGTCGCTAGTTACTCTTATACCTCATTTTCCAATTGTTAGCTGTATTATAATTTGTTAGAAAATCATACAAGACATCCATTAGTACGAAGATATGATAAAAGTTTAATACTCATATAAGACTTCTGTACGATACTCAGTTAAAAATTACATTTCATGATTGTTTGGTTTACAAGAGCTAAAAATGTAAAGCAGTGATAATATAATTTACAACAAATATAAGTAATAAAAGCGGTCAAGTTCGATTCGAACTTGCACATGAAGGGATCCGTACCATCGTAATTCGTGCGAGATATAGCACAATGTACTTACTAATCTGTTCGTTTTTGCATGGCAGCCATTTAAAAATTCTTGGTTTTTTATTATTTTTTGTTATAACGGCAATAACAATACACACTCTGTGAAAATTTCAACTCTCTACCTATTACCGTTCATGAGATATAGTCCGCTGATAGACAGACGGACGGACAGCGGAGGTAAAGGCAAACCTAAAAATAGTCATAAAATTCCTTCGATCTTAGCCTTCAAAAGAATTAAGTACAAACTAGAGAATATAATAGAACAAAAAAGAAATTTCGTGTTTATTATATTTTAAATAGGCAACATTGTACATACAATGCTGCAACATTACATTTTATTAATGAAGTGTGACCCCAAAGTTTAGGAATCAAATACAAAAACCACTTTATGCGCCGGGATAAAATCCAAAGTCCAACGATCAATCAATCTATTTTAAATTACATAACAATTATGTACATATTCAAAGTATTATAAATCTATACATATAAATAAAATTAAAGTGTTTGTTTGTAATGTCAAAATAACAGCTTTTTACAAAATACATGTGAGTTGTGAAAGTATATACGGTACTTATAAGGAAAAAAACATTTTTTTTTTATTTTTATCT